GCTTGCTTTCTTTCTGTGGGATTTATTTCTTATTTCTGCTAGATAAAATAGTGGATGTTGATAGTTTTCGTACTGTGATATTTCCGTGATAAAATAAGCAGGTAAGGCTCTGTCCTCTTGACAAACACCATCTGTCGCTCCTGACTGCAGCCAGGACTCAGATCTTCGGGCAGCTCACAGCCTCCCACTGCCGCCGTTGGGTTCTGCCGCGCAGCACATAACTGGGTGTGGTTGCTTTTTACGGGTCTGACATTTTCCCTGCCTAATTATGAACCTGAAGTGTGCATGCACGTATATATCTGGAAATGATAAACCGTATTTATGGCTTGATGATATCACAGGGGGTTCACAATGGTTCTTGGCATAAACATTAAAGGGAAGACAACCACAGAAAAAATGGAACAAAATAGAGTATTTTTTTAAACCCCATTAAAAATGCAGAAAATTCTTTAAAGTTTTTGTTGCCATGACTGTGCAGAGCTATTCCCAGTCATACGTGGAACAGAAAGTAATTTGTCTTCAGCCTGGTTGTTCTGAAGTCCAATCATTCCTGGCACAGTGGCGTAGTCTTTCTGTCTTCCTTAATGCTGACGGACAGCTGGGACAAAAGGAGCAGAAGCTGCTCATGAAATGCCTTCTGCCACAAATAAAAATGACAGGACTTCTTTTTCATCTGTGGTATTAGTTGGATCTGTGTGGTGAATCGGTTGGGTCAGTACTGGGTTTGAGTTTAATGCTACCGCCTCACCTCCATGAGAGGATCTCCAAAGCAAGAGATTCATAGCTTCTGACTTCTGAGTGAAGCTGTCAATTATAACGATAGCCTGTAGGACTTACAGATAGCTCCAAATCATAATTTCTATGATTTCTTTATATCCTCTTGGTTTTGGCAGTACAGACAGCACGTCCTTCTTTTCCCAGTCTCCTCAAAGACAACGGGAGCCCCTGGGACCTACGAGGAGGGCACAGCTGAGCAAAGTGCCCCGGCACTTTCTCAAAGAGCATACATGCAGATGTACGACTTCATGTGCGTCAATATTCCTCCGCACCTGAATTTTCTCGCAGTGAGAGCAAGTTTCCAAGCTATCTTTGGTCCTGGTGAGCAATATACAGCTCTGGAGGCTCCTGAGCTTTAAAATCTAGATCAGAGAAGATACCTCAACACCGGCTCTGCTATTTAATGAAAGAAATTTGAAGTATATCTTGGTGTCACAGACCACAGTTTCTTTTTCAACCTTTTTTTCATTTGAAATGTTGGTTGTGTGGCTCTGCTCGGTAGGGATTAAAACAAAGAACACCTTGTACCTTGTGCTGTCACATCTTTGTGGGCAACGAAAGCCCAGCTCTGACAGGTTTCCTTGTGATTATCACTCCAAAGGGTCTCAACCTTTCCAGACCCTGTAGATGTTTAGGGCACAACCCAGAGCTGTCAGCTGTGGCTGGTGACTGCCCCTGGGGAGTGGTTTTATGCTTTTAAAATCAGAAGTCCTGACTGCAGTCCATGAGGCTCAAAGTTATCACCCCGCATACACACACACTCCCTCTTATCATCCAAAGGCAGCAGCGCATGGGGTGTTTTTAATTGGTAAATTTCTGACGTGCTTAGATGTAGCATATTTACTCCCAACTGAGTGGGAAAAAATGATAACAGTGTTAATCCAAGTAACATTGTGCATAAAGAGTGCAGCTAGAAATTCATCGTGCTGGTGGCGTGGGTACAAGTAAACTTTGTCAGCACCTGAACAAACCAAGGAAAGAGCCAATGTGGGATCCAGTCCAGATGGAACCACAGGACCAACGTGTGACACTCAGCAGCGTGGCTTTATGGAAAGTAGGTCCTGTCAAAAACATCTCCTTTGTGGATATGGATTTTTGCTGATAACAGTAAACACACAGAATTTTGCACCACATTTCAGATAAAAATGCTGTCGTGATACACAGACTGAGAGTTCAAGAGCTACAAGAGCGAAAGACTGCAAAAACGTGTTCTCAGTAGGAAGTCATCCAAATGGTGCCTTGGATGCAGGCGATCTCACACCATCTTTCTGACAACCTCAGGATGTTACTGTAAGAAGTGTCACAAAAAGACGGGGCTGTCAAAGTACCAGCGTGTCCGCATCAAGATAGTCCTAGATGTTGCCATAGGGACAGGTTTCCAAGGGAGACAGGTAATGCACTTTTCTGGAACAAAACTAAAGCAGAGGACTGAGAGTGGGAGGAGATGCTGAGCATTTTGTAGCCAGCCAACCCTCCTCTGCTCCACGCTTAGCACCAGTCATCTGCGAAGTGCGCCATTACTAAAATTGCTTGCACCTTTTCTAGCAATGTGATTTAGCCCCGCAGGCAATATTTCTTTCAAAAACTACCCTTTTAGCTGCTAGCTCAGAAGACTTGTAAGTACAAGATAATGCTTGAAAGGTGAAGGGGAATTTCTCACTTGAAGTCATTTCCCTTTTCTGAAGACTTCCTGCCCTTCAGCCTCACTAAAATGTTTTTCATTTTTTGCTTTAAACACTCGGGGGGGGGAGGTGCTTGAATGTTGGCAGAGACATGGCCAAAAAATTACGGCTGGTGCTCAAATGCAGCCAAAGATTCCTGACGCCTTCATTTGAGACATCTGTAATCTTACTCCAAGCAATGCTGGTCACCAGAAAGGACAGTGTCTGCGGAACTGGCCTGGAGCTTGGACAGACTGGCGGGCACCTCTTCAGCCAGGTCCAAGCTGCATTTTAATCACAGAGTAATTATTGATGCATGGTTTTGCTCCTGTGCTCTCCCAACCCTCACTGAGCTTTTGTGATCTTGCGGATGTTCTTTATCTCCTTTTGGCAGCTCATTCTTATCCCCCTTT